TCCGTACAATGTGTGATTCGATCCCACTAACTTATGGTTTGCAAGGCAGTACCTTACGGCACCTTTCAGCACCTAACGGCACCTTTCAGCACCCTAATCGGCACTAGGTGCTGCTTTTTCCCCCTTGAGTTAAAGACGTACAGTACAACCGGCACGGTAGAGTGAATATGAGTATGCAATGCTTGGGTATTATAAAGTTGTATCCGTGCATATCAATACCCAGATTTCGATATTTTTAGAATGTTTTTCTCTTATTTCAAGGTCATATTCCAACCCCTCATTCAGATGCTTTTAACACGTTCAACTCTCAAAATTAATTTGCTTACGTCTGTGTTTCTTTCTAAATAGGTCGAGACACCACATCTCATTAGTTCATAAATATAGTTTCAGCTAAAAGAACCACAATTTTCTGAGTAAGACAAACGGATGAAATTTTTGATCTTAATATATTCATGTATTTTAGATGATGAATCGAACAAACGCGTAACAGAAACAATGGTATATGACTTTGAGTAGATACGGTGCTAGCAAAGACAGACAAACTCAGAATACAAGTTCATTCAGTTCAATTATTCTACTACCCTATATTCATTAAATCAAGTAATAAATTTAGTAATATAGTTGAATCTTGACAACGTTCTTCGGATAAGCATGCTGAAGAAGATACAACAGGTCACACAGTGTATGTCTAATGCCGAACTGATGATTAGTCTCATTTTTATGATTATTTTCCAATAAATTTAGAATTGTAGATATTAATACAGCATCGCATTTTATTAATATTAATATTATAATTAATAAAATGTGTAAACAAATTAGCTGCTGTATTAACATCTACAATTCTAAAATGATTGATCTCCCTATCCAAGACAATATTGAAGGACTAGTATCTATTAATGCATTATAATTAAAGTTGTTGTCATATAATGATAAACGCTACTGATAACCATCGAAATAGTGGGTTATATTCAACCATCATTTATTCCACACCAAAATGTTTTCACTTCTAGTCAATCTCTTTAACCACATCACTAAGATAGATGTATAAGCGCAAAAACTGGTTAGTCAAATGTCACACATAAGACTCAACAAACTAATCCCTCGATTCAGATATGACACTTTAGAATCAAATAAAATAGAAATAATGCAACACTTTACATCCAAGAACATGCGAGCTTCTCGAAAATGTATCAGAATGAAAGTATAGCGATTAAAAATCTTATTTAACCATTATTGATTAAATTTATATTTATATTATTGTTGATTTATATTAAATTTAATCAGTATCTCACAGCATCCAACATATTTCTAGCCTCTTTATAGTATTAAAACTAAAATGGTATTCATTCCAAACAAGTTATTAACGTTGTCCAAGTGCTACAATATACGCATGAAATCATTTTATTATTATCTAAAACTATTTGTTTTGGTTCAAATGAACTGTCATCATCAAAACCTAGTTGTCCATATTTATTTAAGCCACATGAATAGAGTTCACCGTTCGATAAAAATACACTATGTCTTGAACCAGCATAAACCGAATCACAATCTAAATCTAATAATGTTGGTTCAACATATACACCTTTTACATCATCATTATCATCATTTTCATCAGAAATAATTCCTAGTTGACCATCACAATTCCATCCCCAGGTAAATGTTGAATGATCATTTAAAACAGCTAAACAAAACACTCTTATTTAATATGTGATTACACAAAAATTCTACAATATTTAAAATTCCACTTGAGTATTCAACTTACCTAATGAATGCCATCCACCGCAAGCTATATCTATCACATGTTGTAAACGTTCGATTTTTACTGGTTTTGTCTGTTGTTCTAGATCACCATGACCCAATGCTCCATGCAAACCCAATCCCAAACTATATACATCACCATTGGACAACAATAATAACACATGTTCTTTACTGGCACTCATTTTTATAATCGAACAGGGAAGTATTGCTAAAGGATCATTGACTCCTGATGACGAAAATAGCTGACAATTTTGAGAAAAATAAATAGTGCCATCGTCCAGTGAACATAATTGATAAAACTCAGTTTCATCTCTACTACTATCCATGTTTGGTATCTTATGAATTACTACACTAAAACAATAAATAAAAGAGTTAAGACATACAACAGATTATCTATCTACCTCTTCTCGTCATCTGTTGAAACTTGTTCGATTAAAATTGCTGTTTTATCATGTGCGTAATACGCATAGAAAATTAGATCCATTGTAGTTGTCAGAGCTAAAAATAATTGTGATGAACAGGCTATTTGAAAGAGACGGGGAAATTGAGGTGGCGTAGTAGAGACAAATAATGATAAAATATCGTAGAACGACAAAAGTGACGTTTTTGGTGAATAGTGAACTAAACGACTGTATGTTGTTTGAATAGTATCGAAGTTATTGTCAATGTCGATATCAATTTCATAGCGATTTGCATACTGTAAAAAATAACTTTTTGATTTAGACATCTAGAACAGAAACTTGTAAAGAACCGATATTTTCCTTTAAGTGTTCATCGAGGCACTCGAAACTACTTAATCAACGCTTTACTTCGAGAAACATGAGAGAGGGTGATTCTTTTGAAAGCGTACCAGAGTTTACATCGACTTTGTCCGAACTGGTCGGGAATAACACGACTAGTACAACTCGGCCTCCTGGTGACGAATATCACGTTTAAAAAATTTTAAAACAATGGCAAAATCCCATTTCCCAGCAGAACCGTCCTTTTGTGAGCATTTTCACCATTTTTTAATGAAACACTTTCATGAGCTGATACCGTCAGATTAGCTTCTATATGTAGAGCTACAAAATCACTAGTGGAGAAAAACTTCCGAAATATTGACCACGATCTCAGGAAAATATTTCAAAATCTCGTTTTTTCCGAAAAGTAGGCCGTTTTTGTAAACTACTTTTCCCCCATAAAATCATATCAACAAAAGACAACAA